CCGGTGATATATGACAAAATAATAAATTTAATGTAAGCGCTTTCGGTTACTTCTGCCTTTGTTTTTCACTCAGTTGTCCGTTGTCAACTGAGGTGATCGCATCACCGAACACCACACAAATATGACTCTTCAATTATTTTATTACCATTTGACACGTAAAACACGTAAGCGGTGCTCTCTTTATATAATTCTTTTTATCAGACTTTTTCCGTATTATATTTTAGTTCGTAAACTCATTATTGTACTCTTTTTATTGTTTAGTTCGTAGACTCATTGCTGCCACACTGTGTACAATGAAGTGTTTTGCAAGCGTTTAAATTTAATATACGCACTTGATAAGAACCGGAATCTTGATTGAAACCCCGTTGTGCTTTTTAAATAAAGACTGCCTGTTTGGTTGAAGTAAAGTATTTTGTTCGATGGATTGATAAAATTGTTTTCAGCTATATTAGGACGTTGGACTGGTAAATATGCATAAAAGGTCACTCACCGATTTTATCGCCACAAATATGTTGTAGGGGAGGTCTTTCTGAGTAATTCTACGCAAGAAAAAAGTGGGAGACGACATTGGTTTAAAAGATGCAGCAAATGCGAAGCTCCCCCCCCCCCCCCCCTTACATGTGTACTGTCTACACACACATATTAGCAAATTACTTCCATTAGCACTGACAAAACTTATATGTTTCTTGAACTTTTTTTGTTCATAACTTTTAAATAAGCAATAACCGACGATTTAATAAGGTGAAGATTTAATATTAATATATAATTTATCATTGAAATCTAAGCGATGCATTATAAGTACTGAATAGTTGTCAACTTTAATGATTAATATCTCGCTTAGCGGGGCAAAGCGACGTTTATTTCTGCTAGATTTTTTTGTTTCATGCAAAAACGCGACTGAGCGTTTACTGATAATTTTATCAGTATTGGAGGTGAGAGGTTTAAATTGTATAATTACCCAAAACAGATTTTATGCATGTACACGCAGTGTACATGGCGTTGCAATCTGACAAAATATATCGTATGATATCTCGTTAGACAAGGACAGATATAAGTTGGTAACATAGAAAACGGGCTTACAATTAGACATGTCGATAATTTTGCTTTTCCATCAGAGTTCGGCCGTCATTCCAGGATTCCCTTAAATTATTGTATTACAATAAATGTTCCCTTTTATACAACCTAAAATGATTTGACGGAACTTGATGTTGACCTTGACCTTCAAGGAGTTCAAGGTCATTGACCTTTCCCGTCGCTCGTTGTTTACTAAAAAGTTGGCAGTTTTAGCTGCACAATGGCACAACGTTGGTCTGTGCTCGCTCGTCCTACTGCCGCCGTCGTTTCTGGGCGGTGGGCCGGCCCGTCCGTTGCGCGGATACTTCGAGTCTTTCTCTCTCTCTCCTCTCGCGCACGCTCTCTCTTTGTCTCTCTTCTCTCTCTCTCGCTCTTACGTCCTCGAGAGCTCGTCGCCGAGACGTCTCAGCGTTTCGGAAACGAAAGCAGCAAACCGACGAAGGTAGCCGACGAGAAGTGAGCCAAGAAGAAAAGGAAAAAGAGGAAGAGGAAGACTTCGTCGCTCGTTGTTTACTAAAAAATTATTAACAGAAAAGTTTAAGAACTATAGCAATTTGTGTCAGTGTTAAGGGAAATAATTTGCTGATATGTGTGTGTAGATAGTACACATGTAGGCGGGGGTGAGTGGGGGTGGTCGTCAATCGTACAATGATAGACCTCTGTAAGTAGGAATGGAGTGAGATAAAATGGATTTTAATTGTTTTTCGTGGAAAGTACAATACTGTCCAGAGGACCATCCAAGTAAGGTCCACCCCACCTCACCTCTGCTTATAGGGCAAAACGAGGTCTATCATTTTACAGTTCAGGTTTTCAATTTCCCACGCGAATCGAGGTCCACCTCCACCTACTTCTGCCTGCGGGGGAGGGGCGGTAGCCTCTCCTCCGCCTACATGTGTATACACACTATCTATACACACATTACACACATATCAGTAAATTATTCGTTTGCCTTGTAAGCAAATTGTTTTGTTAATTACTTTTTATTAAATAACGAGCAACGGGAAAGATCAATGATCTTGAACTCTTTAAAGATCAAGGTCAACATCAAAGTCAGTCAAAAGTCATTTGGGGCTGACTGTATAAAGGGGTATATTTACCCACCAAAAATAGGTTATCAAGATTTTTTCCCTATAAACATGGCTTCATTTCTGCTTATGTACTTACCGCTCTTCCGCCTCGTAGAAGAAGCGCGTGCAATGTATTTGTAATACGAGTCTTTCTTAAATATAACCTGATTATCTGTGCAATTCCAAAATAAGAGTCAGCTGCAAACACTCGTCCCAACAGATTATAGGTCCAGGGCAACTAAACACAAGATAATTGTCGGGTCAAGTGAGATTTCGGTAGGAAACGCGAATACGAACCGTCTTGAGATTATCTCCTCGCCAAGTGCAATAGTAGAAAATATAACCGCAAAACAAAATGGAAGGCGAGATCGCGAGAATCTCTAAACTAAAGAGCATAAAAAACTGGAGCGTTTGGAAATAAAAGTAATCCTAAACGCGAATGGAATCTGGGGCATCATATCCGAAAGCAAGACCGACTAGATCGTTGTGTTGATGCGAACGTGCAAACGCAAGCCACATATCAAAAGACTCTTGCGGCATAAAAAAAGCTGATTCAGTGGCACAGAAGGTGATTGCTACGACAATTTCCCAAATTAGCAGACGTTACTTCACATGATTAATTGTAAAACGGTAAGAGAGATGTGGGAAAAAGATCAACAAAGGTTTAAAAGGATCGTCGAAACAAGACAAATGCTACGTATGTGATAAGCCGGATCACTGCGCCAGAGCTTGCCCAAAACAAAAGAGAGATAAAACTAAAAATAAGTTTTTTGAAAATGACAAGCCTAAAGAAGGCAAAGGGAAGAAATTGTATGGTAAAGGATTGGTGAGCGAGTTCTCACATCGACTGCGATGAGATCCGAGAGAGACACAAGATGGTTTCTAGACTCCAGCGCCAGCGACTACATGTCTTATAGGTGAGAATGGTTTACCACGTATCAGACCTTTGACATCCCAATTACCGTATGTATTGGAGACGTGGGTCATATAGAAGTCAAAGGAAGGTTTTTAGTCCGCGCAGCATTGGGCAAAGGGCTTAAGATGTAGTCAACTCGCACCACTTGCGAACTAGTAAAAGGCAGGCGCACAGTGGCAGTGAAAGTTAGGCGAGGAAAGCTTTACGTAATGCAATTCAAGATTGTCAAACCGAAAGGACCGGAAACGAGAGACAACTTTGCGTGCGCAAACCTAGACTCAACTGGAACGCTGAAAGGCTAGCACGAGAAACTAGCCCACCAGAATTTCAAACACATGAAACAAATCTTAAATCTTTTAGATACACGTAAAAAACAAGCAAGAACTATTCTGTGAGACGTGCACTTTGGGCAAAATGCATGTTTTCCGTCCCAGAAAGCACCTCACAGAAAGCATTGGTGAGATTATAGATTCCGACCTCTGTAGACCTATGCCAAGAAATTCATGGAAATCCATATCAAGATATTATCTCCTTCTAAAAGACGATTACTCACATTTCCGCACAATATATTTCATTAGGAGTAAAGCGGGAGTAAACACGTTGTATAGAGAACTTCCTAAAAAGGCGAGAAACAGTGTCCATCAGGTGCCAAACGCACGGACAATAGACTTGAGTTTATCAACTAAGCCGTTGCTTTGTCAACTATATCAATACCACAGAAATGCCTTAGGAGTCTGGGAGGAACATTGAAGGCAACTAGGATAGTGAAGACAAAGTGAAAGTGTTGGAGAAATGGTCTTTACTAATCAGTAATTTTCTTTATCAAAGTCAGTTCTTTCTTTATACCAATCAATTAATTTTTTACATCAAAAACAGGTTGTCAGCATTTCTTATACATGTGGTAACTTTCTCAGAAAAGCATTGTCTTTTAAATAAAATCGAAATTGTTTTAGATGACTTAAACTTGTTACTAGTATTAGTATTAAGATGGTCTGTCCTCATCGGTTAAGTGAACTCTGCAATTTATTTCGCACCTACAATCTTGAAAGTTAATATCTTTACGCGACATACAGAAAAGAAGGATAAATGCAATGAGATTTTTCTGTTTAAGTTGAGGGTGAGAAACTAAAGCGTTGACCGCGGATCTGGTCTTAAGGAAGGTTGTAACCATGCACCCTGTAAATGCATCCATTCGCGGCAAACACCGGTCGGGTGCCGCCCGATCGAACATTAGTCGGGCGAAGATAGCGCGGTGCGCCCACATTTTTAATTCCATCAAAGAAATCATGTGCGCGCGTCATCAACGGCTCGCCGCACCGATAATCCCCGCTCCGACGAGCGCCGACGGAAGCCGATCTCCGCCGAGCGTGAGAGCGTGGCCGGGAACCGTAATTCCGCGCCGAAAAAATCACTTTATCTTGAGCCAGCTACCTTCCCGATCCGCTAGTCTTGAATGAAGAAGCACTCCGACTCCTAGAGAAGCAGAGAAAACGAGGTCCAGTTATCTGGGTCTCATGCAATAGAGTAGAGTGCGGAATTAGGAACAAGGGCGATATTAGGCACAGTTCCTAACTCCTAGGAGTACGGGTTAACATAACAGGTTATGTTAATCAGTGGTATAGTATTCCTTGGTGTGACTTAGAATTTTTATTCTAATGACTTTTAACGATATATAATAAGATGCCGTCTTTACAATAGCTTGTTCGGGACTCTCCTTCGTGCCTCGCCAGCTACTATTCTAGTCGTTAATGGCGGGAAATACTTTTATTGATTTATTGTTAGCACAACTCTCTTGTCCTTAATACCATATCGTTCTGACCGTACATCTTGGCGCTCTTATCTGCTGGCGGAATCGCTGTTTCCACCAAATTCTTTTATTAATACATGCAAAACTATGTCTTATTGTAACAATAAATATTTCTATTAATTATATGTTTTAGCTACAATGGCACAAAATATTGCATGGGCCACTGATGCAAATGTATTAGCTGCAATGTTGGATGCGAATCTGTCAGTATGGCTATGTCCTAATTGTGTTCATTATAGTGATCGCAAAGTAATACGACGAACAAGAATTGATAAAGAAAACAGGTATTGCTAACAAATTGCTAAATATAAATGATATATTTATACATATATTGCATAACATTAAATTTATGACTATTAGAACATCAAAAACGTAATTTTAATATGTGTGTCTCTGAATTATCAAATATTATTATATTAAGCATATCTTTTCTTTGATTATTTTAAAGACAATCTTTTTTAGTGATAGTTGTGATCATTATATACTAAATTTTTTTAATTTTTAAGATTACATATTGTACTAACTAGAATGTGCACTCGATTTTTAGATTATAACCTCTTTGCATAGATATTGATCCTTAAACATTTATTTACTTATTTATTACTTATTAATTATATGTAATATTGTATTTAATTCTTTTACGTAATTCAATTTTTGTGTAATATGTATTTTTTAATATTATAAATAATTCTATTTTCATAATTCACAAATATCTTTATACAGTGAATTTGGAAAACAGCCTAACATTGTGAGTGTCCGTAATGGCATGGTCATGGTGAGACGTGGAGATGGTGCTATAGTAGCTTCATCTTTTTACAATCTCTTTACAAGTTTTCACGAACACATATCGAACAAGAAGTTAAAAGAAGCACTTTCTCTCTGTCGTATGGCTCAGGTAATATAATGTAACGTAATATAATAATATATTTATATACATTACCCCACTAGCACACGAACGATGTGCGAACAAATTCTCATTTGAATCGCGCGTAATTGCCTGTCCTCTAAACCAACCGAATGAAAATTGCCGAGCCGCGATGCTGGGTCATCTGGCACGCCGTCGGAACGTTGCGAGACCAGCCAATCGTTTGTCAACTACATATAATAAATGATAAAATTGCTGCTTTCAACAAAAAAAACATGCATGATCAAATTGTCCATTACAACAATTGATAATTCACGATAAACGCGAAGACGCAAGAGCGCTCCGCGACCGCAAGCGCTAGTAACGCACGTTGCCACTACGGGGCTACTACGCACCAGTATTTCTCGTAATCAAAAATCTTCACGCGTTAGCATAAGAAGCGAGCTTGTGAGATGCTTGACAATAGTGGCTTGTGAAATAAATTGTTTTAATAGTTTTTCTTTTTTTTAGAAGTTTTTGATAGCTTTTCTTTTCTCTTTTTTTCTCCTTTTTCATATGGTCTTATCTAAAAAAAGGCATGTTAAATCGATACTCGCATCTCTCGAAGTCTTCTCGAAGTTTATTGTTGACTCTTTTCCGCGATGCTGATTGATTCTGTCGCTGCGCTAACTTCATGAGCGACTGTCATAGCGTAGTTTTGACAGTTGTGTATCTGTTGCTAAATAGCGCGCGCGTAGCGCGCGTCTGTGATGTCTAGTACATTAAAAAATAAAATAAAGTCCTGAGTAAATATTTCCTTTTATACAGCTCCGATGACCTTGACCTTGACATATGTTGTCAAGGACATGACCCTGAGTAACTTTTTCTTATAATTTAATCGTCGCTCACTGCTTATTTAAAAGTTATAAACAAAAAACTTAAAAAATTTACAAGTTTGTGTCAGTGCTAAAGGATGTAATTTGCTGATATATGTGTATTAGTCCAGTATACTAGTATATAGACACATATATTAGTATCGAGAACCAACTCAAGTTCCTTGTAGAACCGAGAGAACTAGCAGCGACCGGTAGAGACTGCCGTGTGCGTGTTAGAACTCTCCGCTCCGCTCCGCGCGTAGCCTAGTAGCTCTTGTTGCAAATATCTCAAATAATATGAAATATTTCAAAAAATTCATAAGAACATTTTTTGTAGATATTTGTCTATTCTACAACTTTAATCTCTACAAAAATTTCAAAATTCATCGTATTTGTGGAGAAAAACAAATTTGTTTATAAATTGTTAATAAAAAACATACTTAGGGATAGCGGAAAATAGCGGAATTTGAATATGTTGTTCAGTATATTTTTCTGAACACAATGACGTAATAAAACCTTGTGTTGCAATTTTTTCTAGGTCTAATCGTATTTTGACTGGACTATATAGACAGTGTACATGTAAGCGGGGGAGGGGCGGTAGCTCCTCCCCCGTAAGCAGGGGAGATGGGGGTGGACCTCGGTTCGCATGAAAAATCGAAAGCATTGTGCAATTTTATCAAGAATATGTCACAATTTATTCATTTAGTAATTGATACATTAGTTAATGGATATAAAGAAGCTATTATTTTAAAAAATTGCGGTATTCTTTTATTAAAATGATACTTTTTCAAACAAAAATTCAACTATGCAATTTATATAATATTCTTGTTTTATGCCAAAACGAGGCAAAGCACGCTCGCATATCGCGTCATAATCGTTCTATATTTTGTGTATACCCCTGACACAGAATCAGAATGAATCACAGTCTGATGTATGCAATTAAAATCATTCAAAGATCTGTATCCTTTCCAACAGTCCCTATAGATTATTATGCCAAGTTTAATACGTTGCTGAATGATTGTAATTAATGTATTTGCAGTACGATCTTTTACTGGGATAATAAATGTGCAACTATGTTACAAACAAGGTCTATCATTGTACAGTTCGGGTTTTCAACTTTCCACGCAAATCGAGGTCTACCCCTCGCCCCCCCCCCCTTACATGTGTACTGTCTATACACATATCAGCACACATGTCAATAAATTACCTCCCTTAGTAGTGACATAAATTCGTATATTTACTATAACTTTTTTTGTTCATAACTTTTAAATAACCAATAAGCAACAATTAAGTTATAAGGAAAAGTTATTCAGGGTCATGTCCTTTACAACATACGCCAAGGTCAAGATCATCGGGGTTGGCTGTGTAAAGGAAATATTTACCCATATACCAGCAGGATTTTTAGCGATTCAAAAGTTAAGTAACTTTTTTAACATGTTTAACCTACTGCCTCCACGCATACACTTTCCACGCGAGACAAGTTCCACGCATGGAAAGTGTATGCGTGGAGGCAGTAGATTAAAAATGTTAAAAAAGTTACTTAATTTTTAAGTCGCTAAAAATCTTTTTGGTATATGTCTTTTTTATTAAAAAAAACCTATTTATAAAGTTTGACTTAAATCGAAGCACGGACGTTTTCGGAAGTTTTGTTTTTTTAAATAATTTAAATTAAATTAAATTATTAAATTTAGTGTGAAAAATATTACCATTAGCTAGGGTTCAAACCTGGAACCTCCCTCATTCCATGTAGAGCGTCGTACCAATTCGACCACTAAAGCACGTGGCAATATTTATCGCAATAACACATTAAACAATAATAAGATGGAGACATTGATAATATAATTTAAGTTAAGTCGCGATGTATAATCAAACCAAAAGTACATTCGTAATTCGCCAACAATATAATAAACAATTAGAATTCATTTAATCGACTACAATTGGCGGATAATCATCGTGACGGTTCGACCATTGGTTTTGGTCCGATTAATCGTCAAGACATTAAATGAATTCTAATTGTTTATTATATTGTTGGCGAATTACGAATGTACTTTCGCTTTAAAAATTATTTTTATTAATTTATAACTTGATAACAATACTATTCGAATATTCCGTAAACGTCAACACGTTCTCTGAACGTTATGAATGAACGGTCTATATAAACGTCAGAGGAACGTTCTCATGGTGGACATCCGAACTGTTTCCGAACGATTTGGGTTCGAACGTTACCCGAATGTGCTGGTGTGGGGTAATTATAATACTACTTATTGTATATTCCTGTAAAATTCGTAATTTATTGCATATCCCCGTAGGGTTCGCAATCTACTACCAATACTATCCTTCTCCTCTCATTTTAACCCTTTGGACCAACTGCTTAACGTCTCTTTCCGAAAGACGGAGACCAGTTTTCTCCGCACAAGAGCCTATTTTGCACGGAGGGGCGCAGCTATCAGAAAAACATTTCATGTTTACATGGCTCTAGTGGACTCGAACCTGGTTCCTCAGATTACGAGTCTGGCGCTCTACCACTAGACCACACTGCCGCCCTATAATACTACTTGTATATCTACTATAAATAACAATATAATAATAGTATTCATTACATGAAAGCTCTAAGGAGATTTCACTCATGTATACACAAGTGTTTACAAAAATAACAGCGCTATTGTAACAGCATATTCTTGAGATCAAATCAAGTCAAAAAGTCGTGTACCACTTTTTCCTTTGACAAACAATTATCGAAATATCGTAAGTTAAATATTGAAAAATCTACCAAGTTTTCCTTGAATACAAAAAAAAATATTTGGCAAATAAAAAATGTTTCAGACAAAAATTGTTCAAATTAATTAATAAAAAAAGGCGAAGTAATAAAAAATAGAAAATTTCTATTTAAAAAGTTGAAAGTAACCTTTACATGATCTTGACGCCTACACTCAAAGTTAAACAAATATTATTATGTACCCCTTGCAACCCTTCAACTTTTATCTAAGACATATCTTGGTGTAATGCATATTTTCAGAGATAACGGTTTATAAACATTTTAAATGCTTCACTTTGTATATGCGGTTTTCTCGCTGAAATTTTCACATTTTCACCCTGATCTACTGCAATAATTTTGACAATTTTTTTTCGAGAAATATTCTGAAAAAGAGAAGACACGTATTTTTTTGTTTAGGCCTACGATCAATATTTCCGAGTGTAATTTTTGTAAAAATTGAATTTTTCGGTAACTCTACTTTTTAAAACAATAATACCTTAGAAATGTATGTAAGGGCGGTGGTGTGGTCTAGTGATAGAGCGCCAGACTCGTAATCTGAGGAACCAGGTTCGAGTCCACTAGTGCCATGAATCATGGAAAAGTTTTTTTCCGAAAAAACCGCGCCCCTCCGTGCAAGATACGGAAAAAACTGGGCTCCGTCTTTTGGAAGAGACGTTAAACCGTTGGTCCAAAAAAGGAAACAGTAAGGTAGTGGATGAATTAGAGGTTAGGGTTGGGTACGTCCCTTCAAAATGCCCTTTAAGGCCCCTTGGGGTATATAAAGTAAAATTCTTTATCCTTTTACCTTAGAAATGTTCAATTCTATCGAAAAACGGTTTGAATAAAATTTGTTCAGTTTAAAATGAATTACATGATGTACATATTCAATTTAATTTTTAGATAGTGTAAAGTTGTGTTATAAGATGTTTGTTCGGGATCGAACGCATTAAATCTATAAAACCCGTAAAATTGTTCCTAAATTATTCCCGGAAACGACTTTAATTTGAAAGCTAAATTTAACTCTATATATAAGCTTATTTATAAATTCTAAACTTATTCCAGAAATAAGCAGGTCGTTTCTTAGAACTTGCAGGTCGTTTCATAGAACTTGCGAGAGACAAAAAAACTGTCTTGTTTTTGCTTGTGCCTCATCTCTTCTTTTGTCTCGGGGCCTCAGTGCGCGAGGTAAACACCCGGAACAAAGCAAAAGATTCGGCGAAAACAACTGATCGGTTGCCGACCTCGAGATCAGCTGAGTCGTTTGACATTTTTCAAATCAACTGCTTTCTCGGAATGTCGGCATCCGATTGGCTCAGCAGATTCTTCTGTTCGTTACCGGGGGTCCGGAGTTCGCGGTAATAAAGCACCTGACCTCCGCGCGCGATTTGCACTCGATAGCAGTACACCGAGTTAATAGTGAACGATTCTATATTACGATTCTGTATTAGAGAGTGTGCGATTCCGTGCTGATGTGCTCGGTATATTCTGTCGATCGGCTTCGAGTCCCTGCCTTCGAGCCTTCATTTCGGTGCTCGCGATAATCGAACTTGTTAAACTGCCTTTTCTGCGCGCATTCGCCTGCACCAGTTCTTTCAGTCACGAAATAAAACTTACTGTAAATAACTTGTAAATATTCTTAATTTTAATTATAGACTTTTCGTTTATAAAATTCTGTATAGACATTAAATATCCTGCAAACTCTAATTCTTTTGCTTATTCGCGCACAATGTTAAATAGGAAAAAATCATTTTTTGTAAAATTTGCTATTTTAAAAAATTAAAAACAAAATTTATAAAAATTCTTTTAAAAATTACAAAATTTTTAAGATTTTTTGGAACATGGCAAGATTTTTTTCGAAAAATTCTGCCTAATTTAAGTTTTTGTAATAACCTGAATTCGACATTACTCGAACTAAAATAGTCAAACTGTAAACGCCTAAGTATTAAACTTTGGCTATATGGAGGCGGAGAAGGAGCCAAAAGAGTAGGTAAGCTATGGGAGTTCTACCTCGAGGGCAATGAGGGGCGAGTGAGGGGCGGGGGGTACCGCGGGGGGGTACCGCGTTTTCGGGCGTCGCGGGGGAGGGTGAAGTACCGCGTTTTCGAGCGTCGCGGGGAAGGGGGGTACCGCGTTTTCCGGCGTCGCGGGGAGGGAGAGGGGGGTACCGCGTTTTCCGGCGCCGCGGGGTAGGGGGTACCGCGTTTTCGGGCGCCGCGGGCAGGGGGCCCGCGATTTTGGGCGCCGCGGTGGAGGGGGCCCGCGTTCGCGTTTCGCCGCGCCGCGGAGTCCGCGTGCAACGGCCACGTCGGTCCGCGTGACGTCACACGGCACGCTCCCGCTCGCGTTATCTACGAGGGGTAGATGTTTTCTCGCGCTCCCGTCCCCCGGTCGCGCGCGTCTTCTCGTTCGCGCGGTCTCTTTCTTTCGTTCGCGCGCGGTCCCTCTCGCTCCCATCACCCATTATAGTTAGATCATTTTTTATATTATTTTAAGTGATTTTTTTTTATTTGAAATAAGAGGAAGAATATTTAATAATTTATATGAGACGGATGAGAGAAAACGTTTAATGATCGCGCAACGAGTGCGGCACACGCATTTTTATCGAGAGTTTTGTAATGCTAAACCGCTGACGGTGGACAAGGGAACGGTAGACAGAAGGAAAAATAATTTTAGATACAGTGATATGCATTTTAATATACATTTATTTTTCATGTAATGCATCGTGTATATAATATTATCTGCAGCATACGCCAACAGTTCACAATCAATAATCGAATTTTTATTATAAA